CTTACTGCTATTTGCACCACGATGCCACTGATGCTACTGACTCTCGCGAGTACGACCCCCCTCCCTCCCCATGACCCAACCTGACCAGTACGACCCCCTTGTCGAGGATTTTCTCGACCGATATTCACCCTGCCTGTGACCACTTAGGGAATAAGCTACCTCTGCTACAACCTTCAATATCACTACTTCAGACATGCGACGATCAGTCGATAGGATGAATCATGTGATTCATTAGCCCATAGCTTTTGCGGTCTAGGCGATTCATTTTGTGGCCTGAAACTATTATTAAGCTGTTAACGAGTTGTTCTGCTGTACAGTGCTTCATGGAATATCAAATTTTTGACTGGACACAACGGATGTAAAGACCATTGTCAATTCTTGTGGCATTCTTTACGACAACTGATATGAAACCACTTTAATTATGGAGCTGTGAAAGCACTTCAAGCACTTTCGCTCTGTTGAAAATGCAACCGACATTGTAGAATAACTCTGTTGAGAAAAGTTTTAACTTTCTAGCCTCAAGGCCTAGAAATGCAAGGGATGTTTATTTTCAGAAAAACCAAAATAGCTCCTCATTGTGAACTTAAAGGCAGCGATTACGATAAAGAGGGAGCGCATCGGGGAAGCATATGCACCACACGAATCAGTTACTTGGCTGCCAGGGAAGCGAGGTGTGGCGCTTTCACGACGAAAGGTGCGCTGGTTGCTGAGCAGGACTTCGAAAGCACTCCGCCCCAAAAGCGATCCGCCCACTAGTTTAGTTGGTGATTTGGCGTTGCCAGCAGCGGCACAACTGGAGCACTCGATTGGAGCGTGGTTTGGCATGGTGCCACCAAACGCGTTGCGTGAACTCGTTCATACGTCCGCTTTCTGAGCTGTTACCTGTTCATGAGTGAAAACCAACGGCCAAAAAGGGGTCCCGTTTTGCGTTTTCTTGACGGATTTCTCCGCTTTTTTTTCGCCTCGGGAAATGAATCTGCACTGCTATATTAGTTTTGCACCAAAATACATTTCATACAATCAGTTTATTAACAGCAATCTACCCGTATATTATTCGTGTTAGATGATAATTATTTTATAAGTAAAGGAAACCAGGATGAAAAATAAGCAAGGTCAGTACGTTAAAGATTGGGAGAGACAATTCAAAAAAAGTTGCACAGATTATTACATGCAAAGACGGGCGCTAATCTATTGGCGGGGGGGGGGGAGCAGGGCAGTCGCCGATATGCCCAGCTCTCTCAGCGGGATGGTCTTAACTCATACATTCAGCTTTTCACACATGTCACTCGTAACTCGCCCCACTCCCATCCTCTGAACTACCTACATTTCCTCTGGCACTCCGATTCCACGTTTTGCACTGAAGGGAGCAGACGAGCCCCCTGATGCGGCGGCTGTCCTCCTCCCCAATGTGTTAGTAACAAGAAGCAATCACGTTGAAGAAGAAGAATTGGCGACCTTGATACATCGAAGCAAGCAACAGCCGCTGTCGTGGGTCGGCACAGAAGCGGCTCATTCACAAGCACTCCTGGAAGCAGAAGAATTACTAAGAATTGGCCATTCTTGTCAATAAGTGCACGGAAAAGTTAAGAAAAAGCAGTTTACAGAGTCATTTTATCAACAACGCAATATTAATGGCTTGTGTGCGTTGAAGTTGAAGCGCTAGGAAAATACACTGCTTCTCATACTGACATCTACACCTAAAGTATTCTGGACTCACTCCGAGATGTTTCGGATGCAAGGCTCTATTGCGTATATTTGCTGCCGCTATGTCAACAGTAGAAGCCCGCATTTATATAAAAAAGAAACCTAACACCGCGCTACTCTCGCAAATCGTTGCTTCTCGCACGTTTTTTTGGCGTTTCATTTTGCTCGGTGCAAAATTCTCGATTGCATATTGGTTCGTTTTCGCGAGTTATGACAAAAGAAGCGCCTGTTTGGGCCATTGCTAAAAAAAGTGCGACAACTCCACAAAAAAAGGAACATTGAGCAATCGCTAGATTGGGCGCGAAGTGCAGTCATTCTGCATATAACAATTTCTTCAAGTCAGGCCTGCAGGAAATGGAACTAAAAGAACTCATTGCTTTCTAATCGGGATAAACGCTGTAAGGAAAGTTTTGAGTTCTCCAAGCCGTGTTCGAAACTAAATTCTGTGCCATAATCTACTGAAAATCTGTTTCACGGAAGAAACTCCAAAGTCACTTTTTATTGGAAAGCGAGTGTTGCACTTCCGCCGTCAAGAAACAGTCGCGAATACTGAGCCAAGTTTTTATGAAGATGCAGTCGAACCGAACGGGGTAAGGCGAGTTTCTTCATTGAGGCTAGTCTAAAAGTAGCGCAAGTAACCCAATCAAACTTTTCAGCCAGGCGTCAAAACCGCCTACGCTTGGGAAAGATACCACGAGGCGTTGTAGTTGTATGTATTTTGTCGGTGGGAGTCGTAGCTTGTTTCGTAAAAATTTTGTAAAAATTGAGGAAAAGTCCAACCATTTAGGATATAGCCAGGGGTCGTTATTTCCTTTTGTAATGGACGGTGTCTAACACTTACCTGCTAGAGCAGCCGTATAAAGGCAGCATACACATCCACAAACTAGCGCACGGAAGACCAGTCTGGCTAGCACATGTCGCTTAGACGGCGCCATGCCTCCTAAACTCCTTTTTTACTTCAGAGTCGAATGTGATTGCGGGTAGAAATACTTACCCAGTACTCCCATAGCTATTCCGATAGTACCTAAATTAGAGAAACTGCACAGTGCATAAGTGGCTATCATTGCCGATCGAGGCTAAACAATTTCATTCAGGAAAAGCGTTTTTCGTTTTTCCTCTAAAGAAGCCTCTTCTAACAATAAGCCGATTGAGTAGTTTGCGCTTACACTGATCTGTGGTGTTTCGCCCGCAATCATTTTCGCCCAAAGCTCGATAAGCCACGAATTCGTTCACTGCTGTTTTTGTGGCAATAAGGCGAGCAACAGCTAGAGTTTCTCGGGCATCACCAGTAACTCCCATAATGAATGCCACAGGGAACATGACATATTGAAGTAGGTTCTAGAAATAAGACAAATTTTGGCATAATGTTGGAGAGCAAGATGTGAGGACCTCCAAACTCCAAGGACCGTAGCCTATGAGATCTCCAAAGTAGAAGAGAACACTGTCCACAAGGGCGAGGAGTGCGAGCACAGACACGAGATTTGCCGCGATAGCCACCACAATGTGAATTCCGCTCATTGCTCCATTCGAGATACATTCTATAGGATTGTTCTCTTCACTGAAAATGGTCACAATTGACGAGCAAACTCTTTCGACCTCAAAGCAAGGTGGACTACAATAATAAAGCAAGAGGGGCCACCAAATCAGGTTGGAGAGATTTACTGTGCCAATTTGCTCGAAATGTTCTGATTTATGAGTGCTCCGAGCTGGTATAGAACCTATATACCAGCTACCTACATATGGTATACCAGCAAGGACACAAGCGTACCTGGGAGGTAGTTCAAGATCGGAAACTTTTCGTGATTCACTCTGCTCCGTTTCCTGGACACATTATTTTTGCAAATGCAAGAGAAGCTGGAGCTGACATCACAGAAGAAGACAAGTAAGTATCTAAATGAACAACACAAATTGACGGCGTAAGCCGGAAATATGGTACTATGAACGACTATGAAGAAAGTGTTAGCTAAAGCTTGTGTTTCCATGGAGGGATATGCGCCACTCGAAGCAGTAGCGAGGCTGTCAAGGAAGCGAGATGTAGCGCTGTCACGACGAAAGACGCGCTGGACGAGCAGGCCTTGAAAAGCGCCATGCCCTGAAAGCGATCCACCACTATAGTTTAGTTGGTAATTCGGGCAAGCTATTGTATTTGCTCTTGGCTTGTCATTTTGGGAGATTGTTTCTCTTTTAGAGGCTGTATCTTCCAACCTGCGTACGTAATACGTTATCGATCAAAGCATGACCTTGTTGGTGTGACATGACGGTGGCCATCGGGGGTAACACTTACTCCTCGTTCTTGGTCGCAGCTTATCTATTGTCGAGAATGAATGGGCAATAAAGTGGGTATTATTTTGCATATTCTTGACGGACACTTCCACGTCCCCTCTAAACCCCTACACGATCTATCGTAATTGCTCCCTTCACCGAACGATTATGGTGCAGAGAAATTAGAAAGGAAATTAGAGACATTCCTCATTTGAATGATGCGGTTACTTTTGTTGAAACTGATGGTAGAGTTGCAAAGGGAACACTAGTGGAGATAAAACTATTGGGTTGGAGCATAAGTATCGTAGCACTTGCATTTTCATTTCTTCACACAAACATTTCAAGAAAAAAAATAAAGACAGAAAACTAATCAGTGTTCACTTCCTCACAACTTTACCTGCATTTCGCAAGAGATCACCAGATATAGAATTTGAAAAAATACCAAACTCGTTTTCGGATTTCTTCTTAGTTCGAAATTAAACATAACTTGAGCGAAAAAGGAAGGCTCGCTTAGAGCAAGGTTCGATTAGAGCAATGGATTCAAAGAACTTCCAATTGGCGTTTTTCTTCTTTATTTAAACCGAGGAATAGCAGCTGTCGAAACGCCGATTTTCGCCGTCTGGATTTTCCAACTTCTAAGCTCTATACCTGAGTACAGCTACAATGTTGAAGAAAATGACAACTACGGTTTTGTAGAGCGGAGAAGAGTACTTTCAAATAGTATGAGCAGTTTTTTGGTGATACTTGTACTGATTGAATTTATACGCTCGAAAAAAAAAACGCTACGATATTATGCTCCAAATAAAAATTACCGACAACCCTAAAATTGAGGACGATATGAGCAAACACTGGAGGTAGAGGACAGGAGCCAAACGAAAGAACATCACGGTATTGCGGTTCGAAAATGCCCGCTGCCGAACCCTTTCCATAACGCTGCAATAAGTCAAATGACGATACACTTCCAAGCTGCAAGAACGGTACAAGCCTACGCTTGGGGAGTAGTCTACGCTACGCACGGAAAGTATCACTCATCAGGCCTCATTGTGGGAT